CCCTTATGATTCTTCCTTGACCCAAGATTATGTATTATTTGATTTCCAAGTATTTTAGGGTTTCTTTCCTACATACCATATTTTTATTGATTTCCAATTCAATACTGCTGTGATCAGAAAATATATTCTTTATTATTATCCAACCCATTAAGAATTATTGAGACTTGTTTTATGTCTAAGCATATGTAGTAAATTTGTCTACCTACAAAGAATATGTATTCTATGGATGTTGGACATAATGTTTCTACAAATGATAATTAGTTCAATGTGGTTGATATTGATGTTTAAGTCTCTTTACTGATAGTTACTATATTTTACTGATATTTTTGGTCTATATAGTAACTGCTGAGAACAAGATATTAAAATCTCTCATTATTTTAGAGTTTCTATTTCTACAATTACATCAATTTTCCTTACCTATTATTATCTGTTGTTAAGCTCATGAACATTTATAATTTTGATGATATTCCCTTCACAAATGATATCTTTCATCATAACGGAATGTGCCACTCCATCTCTGCTAGTATTCCTTACTCTCAGTTCCACCTTGTTTTATATTAACACAGCCATTGCATCCTTCTTGTCTCTATTGATAGTATAGCATTTTTCATGTCCACTTGTTTTCTACTTGTTGGTACCTTTATATCCAAAGTGTATTCTTTGTAGGTATCACAAAATAGATTATATGAAGATCTTATCACTACCTAACAGATTACCACAAATATAGCGGCCTAAAACAACACCCACTTATTAGCTAAGCATTTGCGCTCAGCTCCCAGAGGCAATCTCCATTCTTAACCATATGACCTCTTTCTTCTTAAGACCAGGAATGGAGGCTCTCCCTCATGTTGAATTCACCACACTTCAAATCTCCTTCTACAGGAAAAGGCTGGTCCCTTTTAAGGACTCACTTGATTAGGTCAGACTCACTGGGTGTGATCTCCCTTTCTTAAAGTCAACTATGCTGAATAATATTACCTTATAATATTCACAATTCATCCAATACTCACATGCATGGGTGAGATTCTTGGTAACACTATCTGACAACTCTACCTATCACATGTTTTTAAAAATCTTTTCTGTCTCTGTATTTTAATTAAAATATTTAGATCATTAATAGTTAATATAATTACAATCATAGTTAGATTTTGACCTGTCATTTTATTACCTATTTTCTGTTCATCTTTTCTGCTTTTCTACCTGGCTACTTTCTTTTGGGTTGTTATTTTTTAATATTCTATTTCAAATGGCTTATTAGTTGCATCTTTATTTTTTAGTGATTTCTGTATGGATATATAAGCAATTTTTCACATTCAATAGAGTTAGTATTGCACCATTTTATATAAAATGTAAAAAATATCAACAATATAAAACCTTCTTTCCACACTCTAGACATCCATTTGTATATTACATCTACACATTTAACATCCATTTTGTCACACTCATTGTGTATATTACATCTACACATTTACACACATTGAATAAAAACAAGACAATATTACCATTTTATTTTAAGTAAATATATGTGCTTACATGTGTATACATGTATACATGTGTGTGGGAGAGAGAGAGAGAGAGAGAGAGAGAGAGAGAGACTCATGTGGCTTCGTCTGGCCTAGAGCTCTTTGTGTAACT